TATAAATCAGTCCCTTATAATTAAAAGCAAAATTTTTCTAACACAACCTTCCAAGTAGTTATAAGCGACTTTGTAGGGAACACTTTTGGCACAACTGTTGCTGCTGAATTTGCTTTAGTCTGCATATTGGTTGAGTGATAATCTTAAAATAAGTGTGAAGAAAAGAAACGCTTTCAACCTGGCATAGAACAACCAATATTTAAGCTAGTCTTTTCTTTTAACTGTTTTTAAAAGCCCCAGTCTGGCTCTAAAAAATTTATTATGGTTGAAAGTCGCTTGCTACATGAAAAACGGAGATTTTTTTTTTTGAAGTGGACGACAATAAATTTTTTGTGTAATGTTTATATTGAATGACACTTGATTTGCAATGTCCCTAATTGTAACAATTACAATATAAAATCAAAATTTTTTTTAAAAATAATTAATTTTTAAATTTTTTAAATCTTTTAAAAATGGCAACAAAAGAAGAAATTAAACAAGAATTAGAAATAGCAAGAGGGGAGTATGAAGAGGCGAAAAAGAAGCTGGAGAAGTGGGAAGAGGGAAAAAACAGGAGAGGTTAGACAAGTTGGATAATAAATTGGCAGATGGTGAATGGAGGAACAAAAACCAGAAGAAGGGTTGGGAAGAGCAGAGGGATGAGTTGAAGGAAGGAAAGAAGAAATTAGAAGAAGAAAAAGACTTTTGGAGGGGACAAATAGAAGAGTGGGGAAGGAATTAAGAAAATTTGGTGGAGAAGGTAATGAACAAATTACGCAAAAAAAAAAATATTATTATTTTTCATTCATTCCATTTTGTTTATTTATTTATTTGTCCGTGGAATATTTAACCTACTATTTACAATTATAACTAAATTTGTCATCTGTTTCATTCTTGATTTATCTTTTTATATCATTTATTTTCTTTACATTTGTTCACCATTACTATTTCTTTTACACCATTGAATAACTTTTGTAGGAAAAAGAAAACAGTCATTTTCTTTTGATGATGGAAATGAAAGCAAGAGACTCAAGCAAGCAGGTATGTAATATTATTATCATATTCTTATATAGAATTGAAATATTCATACATTTCATTAATCTTGAAAAATATCAGAAATTTTATTCATTGATTTTTCATTTTTTAGAACTGGCAAGTGAAAGAATGATTGAATTTTGGAAAGCTGCTTTATCATTAATGATTAATCCAGATGATAAGCTTATTTCCCTTCCAGATGGTGTAAATATCTTTGGTAGTAAAAGTTTTGGATCTGCTTTCATAATTCGTGAATGTTATACAGATTTGTGGAAATTGATCACTGAAGATAAAAATTATAATGGCTGGATTGTCACTGGAAATCCTGGCATTGGAAAATCAATGTTTGGATTTTTTCTTTTGATATATTTGGCTAAACAGGGGAAAACTGTGATATATGAACATTTCTTAATGAAGGATCAACATAAATTTCAACCTGATGGTTGTGTTTTCAAAGGAGAATTTAGAAAAGAACTCCAGGATGGTGAAACTTGGTATATCATGGACACAACAGTTCCAAAAACTCTGGATATAATGGCAAAAAAGGTTTTTATTGACTCTCCAGATAATGAGGCCATGAAACAATTTCAAAAAGAGTCTGATACTGCAAGTGAATTGATAATTAAATTCATTAAATTGAATAATAATATACCAAACAAATAATTTCTATTTTCTAAAAATAAATAATTAATAATAAAAAAAATTTGATCGCCTAGTGGATTGTAAACTGTCAGATCATCAGATCATTCAACCTTTGGAACCTTTGGAAAAAGAAATAAATATATTAATAAATAATTAATAATAATAAAAATATGATCGTGTAATGGATTGTACACTTTCAGATCATCAGATTGTTCAACCTTTGCAACCTTTGGAAAAAGAAATAAATATATTAATATAATCACACATACCTTTTAATAATAGCAGTAACATCAGTGCTTGTAATCTTGAAATAATTGTCATCTTCTGGTCAATTGATATGATTTTAACTCAAAATTTTACATGTTATTTATTTACATTAATATATAAATGTAATTAATATCATTAATAAAATTTTCTTTTCTTTTAACCATATTAATAACATCTCCATCAGATCCTGCTAATGCATTAATAAATAAATACTTTTTAATTTAATCATTACACTTCTAAATATATAAAAAATAGATGAAATAAAAATTAATGAAGCTAACCTTTAAAAATATTAAAAAAATCAAATTAATTCCATTTTATTAATAGCCATTCTTGAAAAGAGTCTGTTACGCAATTTTGTTTTTGTTAAATAAATTTTGTTTGATACAATCTTCTATTTCATCCAGCAATGTATATTAATATATTAATATTATTAGAAGTTAATACTTTTCTATAAACAAATTATGTAATTTAAAAAAATAAACATTTAAAGGCTGGAAATTAAAACTTAACTATTGCATTTATTATTATTATGTAAAAAAAATTAAGCCCAAAGATTGAAAATGTGCATGTTATCCAATTTCTTAATTTATTATTATTATAGAACTTATAGAACTGGTAGTCCAACTTCATGTTAAGATTATCGCTTAGTGGTATTTGTTTACTCTGGCAAAAAATACATCAAAATAAAGGTTTTTTCATGTATTTGTTATTTTTTATGATCAAAGTAACAATTTGATTAAATCAGGCAAGTTTGTGTATGAAAATGTGATTTTTTTCTTCATTTTTTCATATAAAATTCCATGTTGATCAAAAATTTTTTATTAGTAAGTGACACTTGACCCCCTGTAGATCTGCAATGTCCTGCGACTGCTAATATTTTAGGTGGTGGGGATAACAGAAAATCTTAGGTCACACAATCTCATAAATAACGTGATCATAATGGCTTCAGTGAAAGATCTGCATTTTTATAATTTATAATTTGAATGTAAGTGTTTCAATTTGGGAATGATCTACATGTAAACCAATTGTCATTTGCACAAAAAATTGTATTACATTTTTGTCTACAGGATGATATGGCAATTAATTCTCACATTCTCATATACATAAATGCTATAATTAATCATTCTTTATCTGATATACATTTCCTTAAACATATTTTGTCAAAAAGAGGCCACTTTAGAGGTTGGAATCGACTAAAATAGTCGACTAATTTAGTCAACTAACTTTTTTTTTAAACAACTAATAGTCGACTAATACTAATTATTATTATTGTCTGGCCAATTATAAATGAAAACGTTTTTTGTGGTACAAAAAAAATTTAAAAAATAATGGAAAATAATAAAAATAAATATGCGGAGTATCAATATTATGAAGAAGATGATAATGGTGGTGTTGGTGCTGGTGTTGGCGATAATTATCCATGTGAAATAATAAACATTGATACAAGGTCAAATCATTCCAACAATTTGTTGGCTTCGAGCTCAAGCAGTGGTTCCAGACCTTTAAAAAAATGAATTATAACATATAGCTTCATATGGAAGTATTTTGAGAAAATTAAAGATTCAAATGGAGATGAATTTGTAATCTGCAAATTAAAAAAAAACATTAATAATAATGAAACAGAATGAATATTCTAATTAAATAGGATGTTATTCCCATGACTAGTGTGTGACCATTTTGCAAAGCAAATGGTTACATGCTAGTATTAAAAAAATTTAGTCGACTAAAAGAAATTTTGACCAACTAGTAGTCGACTAAGGATTTTTTGGACAATTCCAACCTCTAGGCCACTTTTGTTGTGATTGAGAAGAGAAAAATTATCAAGAATCCTTGAGTTTTGTTCTTTAGATTTTCCTTTAGCAGGATGCATTATTTATAATTTTCAAATAAGTAAGAGTTATTACACTCAACCAAATAAGTTGTTTTGTCAAGAAATAGCCAATGCAAATCATACCCAGAAATTCCAAGAGATCATAATATATTATAAAATTAATTCTTTTTTTCGCTTGTGCTTTGTTGATACCTAAAAAGGCAAATGATTGTCATGCACGTGGTCAAACTGTCTTACCTGGGGTGGGGGCAGTGTGTGAAATTGTTTGCGGGCGCGTGTGTTACATTAAAGGTAGCCAATAATCTCTTAGCAGGATTTGTGCAGAAAATTCGTGTAACAAAATTGAAAAAAATTAATTTTTATTATTACGAATATACTTTTATTGATGTTTTTAGGTATAATTCTATTTTTATTGATACAAAATAAACAAAACATACTTTTATTTATTATATTAGAATAATTTTATTTATTATACTAGAATAATTTTATTTTTGTTAACAATAAATCATTGATGGTTTCGGGTATAATTTTATTTTTATTGATAACCAAAAATAAACAAATATACTTTTAATATTATGCTAGAATAAATCCATTTTGATGTTTATTGATTAAAATACCATAAATACAATATGTTTTTTAAAACTCAATATTTCAATTTAATCAAATAATAAAATCTAGATTAAAAAAAAATCAATTTTTTATTGCTATTTAAAAATGCTTAATCAACGAAAACATCATAGAAAAATTGTTAATGAAAATTGGTTTCATGATTATACATGGTTAGAAAAAGATGAAGAAAATGAAGATATAGTCCTTTTTTTTGTAAACTTTGTAGAAGCAGAAATGGAAGTACAAAATTTGCGCAGGGCACAACAGATTTAAGTCTAGAAGGAATTAAAAGACATTTAATAACCCATGAACATAAAGCATCAGAGTCGCAACTTCAAAATGAAATAAATAGAAATCAATTAGCAATTTTTTCATTAATGAGAAATGTTTATTTTTTATCTAAACAAAATCTTTCCTCTCATATTTATCCTGATCTATGTAAATTAATGATGTTACAAATTGAAAATAATAATGAATTAATAATTGCTGAAAAATCATCTACTCTGAAACCTGCTGCTTTAGAAAAAACATCTACTCCTAGATCAGCATATGGGAGCTATACAAATTCTAAATCTGCTTCTGATTTTTTGGATAGTATAGCTTCTGTAATAAAAAAATCACTTTTTGAAGAATTGAATTCCTCAATTTATTGGAGCATAATGATTGATGAAGCCAACAGTATTGATAATGATAAATATTTAGCAATTGTGGGAAAATATATTGTTAATAATATTCCTTATATGAGATATTTGGGCATGATTAATCTAGAATCTACCACTGCAGAAAATATTTATAACCAAATCTTATCATTTTGTATTTCAAATGAAATATCATATCACAAAATAATTCATTTTGGAAGTGATGGGGCTTCAAATATGACAGGAAATAAAAATAGTGTTGCTACAAGGTTAAAAAAAATCAATCCTTTTATGTCCTCAATTCATTGTATATCACATCGGCTTCATTTAGCTGGAAAGGATGCTTCTGATGAAGTAGACAAAGTGAACATTGATATAACCAAGAATTTCAGGGATCAAAATTTAGTCATTTGTAATGTGATCATAATTAATATCCCATTTGTTATCTTAA